TGCGGGGGCCGGCGCGGCCGGCGCGGCCGACGGGGGCGTCGGAGGGCAAAGGAGGAAGAGACATGGGGTTGGAGCCGCATTCGGGTTGCTGGGATTCAATCCAAGATTTCAGAAGATCGATTTCTTGGAGCTCCGAAAGTTCCTTTTGCTTGCGCGAGGTCTTTGACATGGGTTTTCTCATTGTGGCTGGCTGTGTTTCAACTTCCGACTGGAGGAGAGACAGATGCTAGGTATTTGGGTTTTAGAAAGAAAGCGGCGAGAGCGCTTTGGTAGTGACAACTTACAAGGGTTTAAGCTTTTCAGTTATGTTGACCAAAAAAACTTTTCCTTTCTAAATTCTAACGACGAAAGAAAGTTGTAGTTTTTCCTTTCGGTGATTCCTCAATAAGAATTTTAACTATTGGATTGCATTTATTAATACAAATTTATAAATAAATTCAATTCTAGACATGTATTTATAAAAAAAAAAACTTAAATACTATTTAAATATAGAAATACACCCAAAATCAACAATTGTATATTTTTTTGGTGTGTTTATAAATGGATTTTGAGTTTGTGTAATGATGAGTTTTGGGTGTGTTTATAAAGTGTTTTGGGTATTTGATTTTTTTATAATTTCAGTCCCCATTTTGTGTTGATAATCTCTTAGATGCAATTCACGGCCGAGATTAAAAGTATGTAATCAATTCTTAACATAAATATTTATTAGAGAATCTCCCTTTGCATTTATATACCAATAGTACTTACTACATATATATATATATTAGAGAGAATTATTATTACTTTAAATCAATTCTAATTAATTAGGTAGTTCTAAACTTATCAAACCAAAAAGGGAAGAAAAGGAATTGTGGCTTAGGCCCTTGACAAACCTAGTATGCTCCTGTTTATTTGCATTCGAGTTTGATTTTCCTCATTATACATTGTTCAATTAATAAAATTACAACATTACCTTTGATTAATTTTGGCGCTGCACATTAGTTTTTTCATAACTAAAATTAAGAACCAAACTGACTAAAGAAGAAACCCTTTCCTTGCTCGAAAAACATAGGGAAGAAGAAGAAGCCCTTTCATCTCCACAAAAATTTGAACAAAAATCTGATAAATTAGTGACACGTTTATTAGTCAATCTTTCCACAAAGAATTGGACGTCACGTGGCCTTCGTTTTGACCGATATTTTTATGTCCTTCAATTTTCCGAGTTTCGACCAATAAATAAATAAAAAATTTCCGAATGTCACATTACTAGTGGCTCGTAAGATTTACACGCATGGCAAAATCCAGTCGGGGATAAGGTATATATGTGGTGTAGGAGAAGAAAGCCACATAGTCTCAGTCCCACTCATTTCATTGAAGCCTTATCTGCAATGGCCATCTCCAGTTCTGCTGCAAGTTCGGCAGACTGGTCTTTGGCTTGGGTGATATCATGCAGAGAAACCCACAAATTCAACTTCTTCACATCCTGCAAAACCAGTTCCTCGTTTTCCATCCCCTGCTATAATCTCCGAGTTTTCAATGTAAATTCTTCAGGTTGTCACTCTCCGATCTTAGAAGACGAAGCATCCACCACTTTGCCAGTCATTGAATTGGACCTGAAGTTTCCAGATCCCCGAGAAGAATTTTCAACCCCGGATGCTGATAATTTGAACGATTTTCTATGTGGGTTGTTTCAAGATCGTCAGACTGAAGAATTTGCGTATGAACAGTATGAGAAAGCGAAAAAGAAGAGGCCAGAATTCATACCAAACAAATCAACATTTGAGCATCTAATAAGGTATTTGATACGTTCCAAGAAATGGGGTTCAATGCTTTCAGTTTGTGATGATTTTAAGAATTACCATGTACTGCCTGATAGTCATACTTGCTCTAGGCTGATCGCTAGCTGCATTAGAGCTAGAAAATTCAAAATGGTTAGGACTTTGCTTGAAGTATTTAAGGCTGATGATGATGTCGCTGTCCCGGCCTTTGATTCGGCAATGAGAGGCTATAATGAGCTTCATATGTTCAAAGGTACAATTTCTCTGTTTGAGCGAATGAAATATAATGGAATTGTTCCAAATTCTGGATGTTATTGCCGGATCATGGAAGCTTATTTCAAGAAAGGCGACAGTAGAAAAGTTGTTGAATTGTTTCATGAACTTGGAAGTAGGCAATTGGATTTTAACCCATTTTCAACTCAAATATACGGAATTCTATGTGAGTCACTGACCAAATTGGGACAGCCTTTTGAAGCTCTGGAAGTTTTTCGAAGTAGGACAAAGGAAGGAATTTCTTTAGACTCTTCAAAGATCTACTCTGTGTTGATTAGCTCATTCGCGAGCATCCGAGAAGTGGAGGTGGCTGAAGAGCTTTTTGAGGAAGCGGAGACCAAGAAAATGTTGAGGGATCCGTCTGTATTTTTAAGACTTATATCAATGTATGTGGAAACAGGGTTGACACAGAAGACTCTTGGAGTAGTCAAGGCGATGAAGGGTGCAAATATCAGAGTTTCGGACAATATATGCTGCGCAGTTGTTAGTGGCTTCTCCAGGAAAAACAGGTTGCTGACTGCGGTAAAAGTTTTCAAAGATTTGGTGCTAATGGGATGTGAGCCAGGACAAGTGACATACGCGTCGATTATCAATGTATATTGTCGCCTGGGGCTTCACTCCAAGGCTGAAATGATTTTTAGAGAGATGGAGGAAAAGGGGTTTGATAAATGTGTAGTGGCTTATTCTAGCATGGTTGTAATGTATGGGAAAACAGGAAGGCCAAGAGATGCAATGAGACTTGTGGCGAAGATGAAAGAAAGAGGGTGCAAGCCAAATGTATGGATTTACAATTCTTTGATGGATATGCATGGAAGGGATAATAATTTGAGGCAAGTTTCAAAGCTGTGGACAGAAATGAAGCGAAGGAAGGTTGCACCAGATAAAGTAAGCTACACAACTGTTATAGGTGCTTACAACAAGGCAGGGGATTTTGAAATGTGCATGAGATATTACCATGAGTTTAGGATCCATGGGGGTGTTTTAGACAAGGCCATGGCTGGAATGATGGTTGGGGTTTTCTCGAAAACGGGTCAGGTTGATGAGTTGGTGAAGCTTCTGCGAGATATGAAATCAGAAGGAACAGGGTTAGATGGGAGGCTTTATCGGTCAGCCTTGAATGCCTTGACAGATTCTGGGCTGCAAACGCAGGTCAAATGGTTGCAAGGTAGCTTTAAGGTGACCTAGTCTTGATAAGGGTTTGTATAACTGTACAGATCGAATTCCAGTTTTGGGCGCAAATGCTCTGTTTCAAGTACTCTGTTATGCTACAACTTCATTAGGATTTCTTTATTTTTCTTTCAATTGAAACCTGAAAATTAATTTGCATATATATACTGAAATTTGTTACACTGGGAACCATCATTTTATGTACTTAATATTTCATGTGGAATTTACACAGTAAATAAATATAAATCATGAATTTTTAATTTATTTTTTGAATCATGAGTTATATTTACACATTAAAGTTAGACATCATTTCATTATTTTTTTAGTATTTAGGGTTGTTTTGTTTTGTTCCAATATTATTTCCATTATCCTGCTTTTGATTTTTTACTTTTCCTAAGTGAGGGAATGCTAGCAAAATTATTTTGTAATTGCATAATGTCTAACAAACGATGGCCGCCATGGTTATCCTAAGATGACTTATGAAGTAAAACTTGAATATGAGGCACTTGACTAGAAACAAAAACAACAACAACAAAAAGATTACAGAGAATGTTGCTAGCATTCCCTATGGTGTGTTTGGATGAAATAATTCTAATTTCCATGGAAATTGTAAATGACGGAATTTCCAATTACATCATTTAAAAATTCCGTCAATTGCAAATTTCAGTGTTTGGATGTCATATATGCGGAATTTAAGAAATGACAGAAATTACAATTTCACCTGTTTGGATAGTCATCACAGAATTCCAAACATCACAGAATTAGAATTTACTTAGAACTAACAACATTTTTTTTTACAATAGTCTTGTATATAAAATCTAGATAGGAATAATTAGCATAGTTCAACACATTATTATTATATATATAATTAGAAAGACCTGTGCAGTACAAAAATTGTCTAACAGCACATACCTCAATTGTTACTAATGTAAAGAATTGCAACTATAGCTTGTCTAATTTTTAAAAAACATAAATCACATAATTAAAAAAATGAAACTAATCATCCCAACCAATGTTTCAACAAAATAGCAAAAATTAAAGATGTCAACTGAATATAGAATGTGTCTACGCTCTTGGTGAAATAAACATCAACACCATTCCCTTCTTTCTCTCAGTTGGAATTGTCTTTAACATGAGAAACTGCTTCTCATTTTCTATAAACCAAGACATTGCCTTTAGTTGTTCATCTGGACTAAGATCTGGAATTGCAATGACTTCATTATATACTTCTGTTGGATCAAGCTTTTGTGTAGTAGAATTGATAAAGTGTCCAAAGATGAAGACATCTTAGCCACTGAATCAGCAAGAATATTAGTTATACCTCTTTGTTTTGGTGGGGGAATATCAGAAGGATTTTGATTTCTTCTATTTGGACAACTAGAACTGGGTGAAACATCATCAACTTGACAACTCTCAAAACCTTGAGTATCACTTTCCAAATCAACAATATTATTGGGATCACTCTCAGGAGTCATAACCTCAGTAGCTTCTGCACATGTTTCAGCACCCTCTCCAGTAGCTCTATCTTTGCCACATAAATCCACTATATCATCCCAGTTTGCAATCACTTTAAATCGAAAAGTTCTAGCATCTTCATGAGACTATCAAGTAGAAAATCAAAGTTAACCATATGTTATTTACCACAATTTTAGTCATTCAAAAAGATACAACAAAAAGATACAATTGCATTATAAATTACCTTCACGTACTCATCCCAAACATTGTCTTCATCTACACTGATCATCTTCTTTGTTGCATCCCAATTAAATTCACTCTGACTTAATATATCACTGACTATACCATAAAACTTTTTGCAGGTTTTAACACGATTTCTTATGTTATCAGCACTTACTTCAATATCAAATTGTGCAGACAATATGGCAGCAGTTGTGTTAACCGATCTGACGTTCTTCTCTAAGTATATCCGCTAATGAACGCTCCATTTGTATATTCCATCGAAAATAGGCTTTGTCATCTCCTTTCGTAACATTAATTTGCTTGTCTTTTCTTCTCCTCTGCTTTATTTTGTTTACTTTTTTCTGTCATCTTATGTATTTAAAATGATTATAACAACAATATTAATAAATATGATCAACATATATTTAACACTTTCCCACCTTCTTTGTGATATTGAAACAGAAAACCAACTCTCACAAAACATATAAATCCGGCATATTTTTCACCACTTACAAATTGAAATAAAACAATCACAAATGTACTTGTAAACCCACAAAAAGAAAAATAAAAAAACAAACAAACAAAGAGTTAACTTTAGAAAAGCAATAAATGGGTCCTCCAGATTCAATAGCATCAATAACAACCAAAAAACAAAAAAGAAACTATTTTTTTTTTCAATACCATGGAATTTCAACTCGGGATTTTAGATGTGCAATTCCCACGATATTTTCAGTGTGTAATTTGGCAAATCCTGAGTTGGTTTTGCCAAACGCTGAACTTTCCCTTTTCCACCCTCCAAATCCCAATTTTTATTAAAATCCCGAGTTATTTTACCGCATCCAAACACACTATAAAGAAGTTACACTTTTGAATTTAAATAATATAATCGCATGTTAAAAATTATAGCCGCGCTATTATATGCTTTAAATATATACGAATATTTAAAAATTATAGACGCACCACTATACGCTTTAAATATATTTGAATATTTAAAAAGTATAGCCGTGCAGCTATACTAATTTAATTTTCGAATATATTTAAATCGGTATCCTTGGCTATACTCTTTAAATATATTTGAATATTTAAATCGGTGTCAGTATTTCTCTCTGTGTCACTGTCATTCTCATCTTCCAATCGGCTATACTCTTTAAATATATTCAAATACTTAAATCGACGTCAGTCGGCTACACTCTTTAACTATATTTGAATATTTAAATCGGTGTCAGTTTTCTCTCTGTGTCACTGTCACTCCCATCTTCCAATTAGGAGAAAAAGATAAATCCATAAAGCCTCTCTCCAACTCTGCATTAGTAAACCCACGCATCTCTCTCTCGATTTACAACTATGATTCATTCATTCATAGAAAAGTTGAGCGGCTTTACTAGGGTTGTTTTTGTTTTAATTGCCTTTAATAAATAGTATAGCCGTGCAGCTATAATCTCTCTCTCTCTCTCTCTTTATATATCTATATATCTATATATATATATATAAGGAGCTTCGGTGGAGGGATCCCTTAAATAGGTTTATTTGAGAGACACTTTTGTTGGGACCACTCCTTATTGTACTTCACTAATCCAAACCGTCTACAAAAAATCACTTGAATATGATATCATTTGATCACTCAATTGAATTATTGAAATTTTAGTACTTTCTTGAAGCACCGTATTCATTTATTTTGTAAGACACAATTGAATATCGAAACGGTTTTTGATTTGTCTAATTTTTTGCAAGGATGACCTATGAACGTAGACTTAAAAAACAGATGGTTTGGATCGTTGAAAAATATTTCGTAGAGGACCCTAAAAGGTGTCCCTCAAATAAATAGAAGGGGACTGTATATATATATATACACACACACACACACACACATATATATATACGGGGATCCTTTTTTTTTTCTTTTAAAATTTTCCCCAGATTTTCGTTTATCGATAAGAGTAGTCTATAACATTACCCATTACTATTAGGCCATTACCCGAGTCTCTATTATCCCCGTTTAATTTTTATTTTTTCAAAGTTATTACCTGTATAATGAATTTAGCACATTCACATTTAATAATGTATTATATACATATGTATGTATTTTTCAAAAATACATTAGTGTTTTGTACATGTCTTAAAGACTCGGTAAAATTCATGTTTTTAAAAAAGCAAATATACAATACTCGTATTGTATATGAACATACGTATTTCTCATGTTTAATACACTTATTTTTTTACAAAATTTTCAATAGGACGCAAAAAATTCATATATTATACAAAAAAAATCTCACATATTATTGAATAAAAATAATATATGTTAAAAAAATTATTAAAAAAAATTATATAATGGCCGATTAATATCTACTTTGGATATGTTAAAACTAACAAATTAATATCTCTAAACTAATGCAACAAGGAGGGTGCTTTTTTGTTAATTTTTGTTTATTAACTAGTTTAGCCGACCGGCTATACCTATTTTGACACGTGGCACATAGGGGGCTGTGCGGCTACTCTCTTTTTTTAAATGAGGAGTCTAGCCGGTCGGCTATACTCGGTTTTTTATTTATTATAAAAACAATATTGCCACGCGGCTTTACTGGGTTTTATATTTTAATTGCCTTTAATAAATAGTATAGCCGTCCGGCTATACTCTCTCTCTCTCTCTCTCTCTATATATATATATATATACATGCTAGGATCCTGTTTTTCTTTTAAATTTTTCCCCAATTTTCATTTATCGATAAGAGTAGTTTATAGCATTATCTATTACTATTAGGCTATTACCCGAGTCTTTATTGTCCTCGTTTAATTTTTTTATTTTTCCAGAGTTATTACCATTATAATGAATTTAGCACTTTTCACGTTTAATACTATATTATACACGTACGTACATATTTTTCAAAAAGACATTTGTGTTTTGTACACGTCTTAAAGACTTGGTAAAATTCAAGTTTTTGAAAAAGCAAATGTACAATACTCGTATTGTACATGTACGTACATATTTATCATGTTAATACACATATTTTTTACAAAATTTTCAATAAGACACACAAAATTCACGTATTATAAAATAATTCTCACATATTATTGAATAAAAATAACATATACATAAAAAAAATTATATTAAAAAATTATGTAATGGTTGATTAATATCTGTTTTGGATATGTTGAAACTAACAAATTAATATCTCTATAGTATAAACTAATGCAACAAGGGGGTGCTTTTTTCTTAATTTTTTAATTTAGTAAATAGTATGGCCGCACGGCTATACCACTTAAATATAATGTATTTAAATAGTATAGCCGGTCTGCTATACTACGATAGGCGCTGGGGGTCCCCTCTTTTTAATAAAAATAGTACAGCCATTGGCTATACGCGATGTTTTATTTTTATTTTTAAATTAGTATAGCCGCTCGGCTCAACTTATTTTGACACGTGGCTCCTAGGCACGCAGCTAGTCTGTTTTTTATTAAATAGTATAGCCGCGCGGCTATACGTATTTTGACACATGCCACCTAATTCATAGGTGTCCCTTTTTTAATATTAAAAATGGTACAGCTCACCGGCTATACGCGGTGTTTTAAAAAAATAATATAGCCGACCGGCTATACGTATTTTGACTCGTGGCATCTAAACGCTGGGGGGTCTCTTTTGGGGCTTGCACACATCGACTTGCTCGGTGTTGATGTGCGTTGGCCTATTGGGGCTTGCACTGATTGCTGATTTCCTCTGGGCTTCCTCGCCTCGTTTTGCTAATTCCTATATCTCCATTACCTCCAAGTGGCTCCTCCCGTGGATATTTCAAAACCAGTCTGATCCTCACACCCAAGAAGACTGACGACGAACCCGTAAAAGGTTTGTTTCGCTCTTTGTTATCATCTTGTTGAAGGCTTGCGTTTTTATGTGAATTCTCATATGGGTATTGGTTGGCTTGTGTCAAAACGGGAAAAAAATTATACTTTTTATTGTTTGGTTGTTTTGTTGAAGCTCATTCGTGCTGGTTCAGGATTTTTCATGTGAATTTGATCTCAGTATTGTCTGATTTGTGAGGAAATGTGCCTTTTTAGTTTGTTTGGTTGCTATATTGAAGCCGGTTTTTGCTGCTGAGTTTGTATGAATATTTTAGTCGCGGTTTTGTTTAGTGTGTTAAAAGTGTTTCGCAAAGGATTTGGTGCTTTTATTTCTTGATGTGAGAGTTGGTTGATCATTGAAGCTCATTGTTGGTAGTTGTACATTGTGATTAGTGTTTCTGTGGATTTCAACGAGCTACTTCACCCCCATTGTTGTGGGTTTTTTCTTCTTCATGTGAATTCTTACCGGCGGTTTGTGAAACATTGTGGAATTTTTTTTTTTTTTTTAAAAAAGGTTTTGCTAGTTTGCTTTGTTGAAGTTCATTGTTGCTTATTTGATTAGTTTTTGCAGATTTCAAATTTGATTTTGTTGTGGGTGCTGAGAAGATGCAATAGAAGAAAAAGGATATAAGATTTTGGATATTAGTATATTCGGCATATTGAAAATTATGAAATTGCATGAACTCCTATTCTTTATTTTGAGCTTTTAGGATGATTTTCTGGTTCCACTTGAAAAGCAAAGTGAAGATTTCATGAATTTGGGTTTCTGATTGGGCATTTGAGTAAATTCTGTACCTATTAGAAAAACAATGGTCCTGTTATTGGAGCTTAATTCCATCCGTCAATGGGTTAAGCAGAAGTGAATTTCTACTTTTATGGAACCAATGCGTTGTCCTTTTACTTATCTTCTAGAACTTTTTCCTGTTATGTTAAATTAATGGCAAATAAAGTTCTAACTGATCCTTGTTTCAGCTCTGAATTTGACCACTATTCTGTTACCTTTAGGTAAATCATAAAAATGATACGGCTCCTGGTTGAGTTTTATTAGCAACTTTGGCTGATTTGCCTGGACCAGAATTAAAATGGGAAAAGATGGCTGCTGCACCTGTAGCTCGCTGGGATGGGGCGGCTATACGTATAAAGAATCTTCTATTCATGTTTGCTGGATACAGCACCATTGATTATGTGAGAACCTTGTATTGCTCCTTAACTAAATTGTTTTTTATATTGTTCATGCTAGCTGTCTCTACTGAATTTTTCAGGCTATGTCCTTTTTTATTTATTAAAATGGTCTGTTGCTTCTTTTTTAACATCCAAATTTTCATGATTTAGCACATTACTTTTAACTTAACCCCTTTGAAATGACAACTGTATAGATTAGTCTTACATTTTCTTGAGATCTTGTTTTAGCTGATGCTATGGGAATTCTATCTTTTGTACTTGGGAAATGAACTGATTTAATGTAGTCTCTTAACGAAATAAATTGTTGATGCTTCTGTGCAAATAACTTTTAAGATAAATAAAGAATAGCCATGCGCATTATTTTGTGGGTTATGGAACTTTTGGAAGTGAAGATTGACTAGTATGACACACACATGTACTCAATATGAAAACTCGCACTGTATTATGTTATTAGCTACATTTGCTGAAGAAATTATAAAATAAAATAAAAACAAACAATGAAATCATGTAGAAACTAGAAATGGTTCTAGATTTGTTTAGCACTATTGTTGGGGGAAGAATTTGTTGAGGAGGTGGTTGTATCACAAACTGCTACATGAGAGAGAAGGGTTTCTATTAAATGGAGCATGCAGAGAATTGGATAAGAATATCAAGATTTAAAAGAAGATGTTTGCGTTGCAAGTGGATTAGGAATTGCTAGGAGTAGCCACCAACGCAAATCGAAGATTGTAGTACAAACTGCTCAGGGTAATCCTTGTTCTTTAAATTTTTGGAATCCGGTAGTTAAAAAGTGAGATTAGATGGGTTGAAAAGGGTGTGTTTTTATGGGTTCTTACTTTGGCTTAATTGTATCGAGTAGAACTGTGGTGTCTTTTTGGGAATCTATGTCAAAGAGTTTTAGGATGTTGCCTTTAGTTTAATTTATCTTGATTTTGTGGGTATTATGAAATAGTTGTAAATTTATTCTGTAATTTTCTGCATCGTCTTTTTTTATTATAGAGAGACACGTTATCACATATTTTTTACTCTATTTTTTCGAATTAGATTATAATGTTTACTGCCAAAAAAAAGAAGAGGAGGAAAATCACAAACTGCTTCATGACTGGTGACATCAATGAATTGGGCCTCAACTGCTGGGGATAGATCAGATCCTACGCTTATGCGGAACTATGATAAACATGTTTTATTATATTCACTCGTTCACCAAAACTGAAAAGATTCACCCTCCCTTCTTATGTTAGTGGGCTGTCCTTTCTGTTTATTGTTTACTTTAGGTACATTCACATGTTGATATCTACAATTTCAGTGATAGTACATAGGGATGAAGATTTGATATGCCAAAAGAAATGCCACATTCGCATCTAGGAATGGTAAGTGACTGGAGGTACATATACATTGTCACAGGACAGTATGGGCCACAGTGCAGAGGGCCCCCTGCCCATACATTCGTGCTTGATACTGAGACAAAGTAGTGCCGGGGCATGCCCCCTTTACCAGTTCCTAGGTTTGTTTTTGCCTTAATAAGATTGCATAGCATGAAGTGTATGTTTCTGTTGTTAAATGCTGTGTGATACTGAAATCGATCACTGTGTATTCCTGTATTGTGCTGCGTGCGTACACATGTTTGTGAATGAGAATGTCATTTATACCATGTCTTTCTGTCATTTTGCTCGTATTTAATACCACCTGATTTCATTGTAGGATATCTGTTTATATATGTATATATTATGGATGTATTTGTGTATTTTCGTGTGCTCATGTGTATATAGACTTCATGTAATGGAGAGGTAGATCATTGGAGTCTTGCTGTTAAAGATGGAAAAGCATTAGAAAAGGAATGGAGGACTGAAATTCCTATTCCCAGGGGTGGACCTCATAGGTCTGTCCACTGTCTTATTCTTGCTGCGTTTATGTAACTAAGCATTTCATCATGGGAGATCTTGGTGGAATTCCCGCATATGAAATTGAGCACAATTTTGCATTCATTGGCCTTGAAAGTGATCACGTAAAATTAAATCATAAATTTTGAAGTTTTTTTTAACCAATAACCATTGTTGAAAGTTGTAGGCAATCTGTTGGTATGAGTGGTCTCTTCTTGATTATTTTCTAGGTCCATCTTTCCGTTTGTGATCTATCAATTCCAGATTCTTTCTTATATGTAGCAATGAGAATAATCCTCTTTGGTGTCTTAGGGCAATAACATAAAGACAATGATATACACTCCCTGCTTAGAATGTTTATGGAGCTAAACTTGGGGTTCTGGTGTAAGCTTATTGATATTCAAATTTTGCTGATAGAATTACTTGATCTCCCTCACACCTGAAGGGAATAAATGGAGTAACTTCCTTAGAATTTTGTTATCAAAGTCAGGACCACATCAGGTCCTGTATCATCTGGAGGCATGCCTGGTCCAGCTTCCTTAAAGAAGTCAAATTCTGGACCACTAAATAAGCATGGGGAACCTCTTAAGAAGTCGTCTGGTCCTCAATCTGGTGTGGTAACACCAACTGGCCGCCAAAACTCTGGACCTCTTCCTCCTGTTCTCCCTGCAACAGGTCTCATTACATCTGGACCCATTTCTTCTGGCCCACTAAATGCTTCTGGGCCCCCTCTTAAGGTATCTGGTCCTTTGGAGTCAATGGGATCAATGAAAGTACAAGGTTCCTCCATTGTTCACAATCAGGCCATTACTACTCTTAGCCAAGATGACAAGTTTTCGTTTAGGAAGAGCTTCCCAAAGCTAATATTATGGTCTTTCTAATTTTTGTGATGGGGTTCACAGCTGGTGGTTTTATTCTAGGTGCAGTCCACAATGCATATCTCATTGTGGTTGTGATCCTTTTTGGTGCAGTTGCTACACTATTCACATGGAATACTTATTGGGGAAGACGAGCTATTATAGGTTATATTGCTAGTTATTCAGATTCTGAGCTGAGGACTGCAAAGAATGGGCAATTTGTGAAGGTCTCAGGGGTAAGTTAATCTGTTGCTGGTATGGCTTATAATTGTTATTGAGATATATGAAGGAGGGTGGGATGAAGATACGTGGAGGAATTTAATTGCTGGAAGTACTATATCTCTATAACATTTATTTTCTAGGTTCTAATACAAACGGATTAAAGGACTTAGTGTTTTTCCTTTTTGTTGAGCTTAGCTATTCTTCTGTAAATGTTAATCAATAGTTTTCACAAGTTATTTCTGGTTCTGTTTTTGAAGGTGGCTCAGGTCCATAGAAGTGAGTAACTGAGTCAGCTTAATGTTTGATGGATAACATATAGTATTTCTCTTTCTGTTTTCTTTCCCTTTTTTATTGGGGCGGGGGTTGAGGTTTTCATAATTAACGAACTGAATTTTTTTTCTCATTAACTTTCAAAATATTTAGATTTTGCCATTGGCTAATTTTAATTCTAGTGCCTGGACAGTTTTTAACGTGTTTGTAGAGCTGATGTACAGTGCAATTGCCAATCCACTAAATGTTGCTATTTGAATTTTTTTTTTTTTTTTTTTGGTCTGAAGCTATTTGAATTTTGTTAATATACTTGTTTCTGGTTTATTTGCCTTCCTGCTTTGAATGTTCTGTTGCTGCAAGCAGCCATTGCATGGTCATGCCAAGGGACGACTTTTATGGCTACCAGGCTTGAAAATTCTTGGGCTTTAGATTTCACACTTTTGACCATAATTTTCTATTTATGTCATTTGACAGAGGCGTGTGGTAGATTTCTACATCTCTGATTTCCAATCTGGGTTAAGAGCATTGGTTAAGACTGGCTCTGGAGCAAGGGTGACTCCTTATGTTGATGATTCGATTGTCATTGATGTGAACCCTGAAAATGAAGAGCTGTCTCCAGATTTTATTGGGAGAGAGGAACCTTTCAAGTGATGATCGCATGATGCGGTTGAAAGAAAGGTAATAGCTCTTTCTTACAATTAATTTACGTTGATGCTTTTTTCTTATAATTATACATGATAATTGCTTCTGAGTTTTTCCCTCATAATCTATCGGTTTTATAGTTGTGTTAAACATAAATGCCCCTTATAAGGAGTTTAGTGTGCTTTCAAATATCTAGTCTTCATGTTTTTAGTAAGTGTATATCGGGTAGTAGCAGTTCGTACTTTTTACTGATTTTAGCTTTTTCTCTGTGCAGGCATTAGCACGAAGTTGGGTGGTTTGTTTGGGTTGAAAAGTGCTCCAGCTCTCTAGCTACTCT